TTAGTTACCTCATATATTCTTTATATATTCTTTATGTTATCAATATAGAGCTGTGTACTTCACGGTATCATGGTCAAGCCTGCGGTAAGATCGTATAAAGGCGGGTTTCCACTATACACGTACTCGTTCACGTGCATACAAATCCTTTTCTGTGATTGGTTGGTTATGTTAAGTTACCACACGATTAACCACGATACCGTGTTGTTGGACATAGCTGAACATTTTTCGTGTACACGGCAAACGTGTATAGTGGAAACCCGCCTTAACACTCTGGTATACCAAAAGATTACCATGTATACCAACCAATCACAGACAAGTATTTTTATTCACGTATATACACGCACACGTATGTAGTGGAAACCCGCCTAAAAGGGTGAAGGTGGGTTTCCACTAGATACGTGTGCGTGTACGTGCATAAAAATACTTTTCTGTGATTGGTTGGTATACATGGTAATCTTTTGGTATACCAGAGTGTTATACGTTCTTACCACAGGCTTGACCATGATACCATGAAGATTGATCCAGTTCAACTTTTCAAGTGTACACGGCTCTGTATTGATAAAAATGTTGATAACATAAGAATATACGAGGTAACTAATATGTTACCAATGCTAACCGATCAACCGATGGGAAACGTTTGTGAGACCGTTCATAGCGAACGTATCCGGTCAATATAAACGTACACGTATGTAGTGGAAACCCACCTTAATTGTCATCCTGTGGACCCGGATCGTATATTACCGCTGCGGTTGAAACCGGACATTGTGTTCCCAGTTTAGTAGTTTACTAGTTATGACGTGTTATAATTTTTAATATTAAACTACATATTATATTATATTATAATAATACAATATTTTATTATTCAATGACTATCAGAATCGAATTTAAAATATAAATAGAAAAAAATCTATTGCCTTAAACAACTTGACTAAACCTGTAAGTAGTACCTACTGGTTACTTGTATTATATAGATACATACACGTAAGTTTATAGTTAATTTACAGATTTTTTAGGACGACCTTTAGGAACCGAAACTGGTAAGTAATTTAAAACTACGACCAGTACGGCCTCATATAGTTCGTACTTGTTATTTATATTTTATGTACTATCTGAAACCTCAAAAAACAATTGCCACGCACAAATTAATTGAAAATAATATTTGTATTGCTTCATAACGTTTGAACTTTGAATCCCGCAACAACAACACTTATCAGTCATCATATTATTATCATAAGCTGATGTTTAGAGAAATTGAATAGTTAATTGTTTTACAAAGAATGAAAATAAAAATAAAAATTGTGTATTTTTTCCACGAAAATTCTCATATGATATTTTATATTAGTTTGTTTTATTAGTATACAAACACTCTACAGTCTACACCAGGCGTGCCCAACATTTTCTACTTGCAGACCACATTCGAAATTCTTATTTATACTGCGAGCCGAATTCACGTTTTTTTTTGTTCATTCTGATAAATACAATAAAATATTTAATTATTATCATTGTTCACTGAATATTTCCTCGCTAGTCGCTTGTTAACATTTTATTTTCGACATTAGAAACTACACAATTGTAAGATATTTTATAATTCTTAAAAGTTTATTAAAATAACATTTTTATTTTTAATTATTATTTGTATTTATACTATCTACCTATACAAATTTCTAATTGAAATAAAATGTTCAAGGGCCGATTGGAATACTTCCTTGGGCCACCAGTTGGGCACGCCTGGACGTCTGGTCCACTACAGATTAGCAAAGGTGGGCATTAACTTAACTAGTTAATTATTTTTGTTTTTAACTTATTAACTTTTTCAGTTAAAGTGTTTATTATTGTAAATTAACTTTTTATAGTTAATCATCATTGTCGTGCAGTTAAGTTAATTTTCTTTTCGTGTGATGCGTAATCAAATACTGATTCGTTGACTCTTTTTCGATTTTGGTCATTTATTTTCGAATTTTATATTATAATAATCTAATTTTTTACACAGTGTTAAACGTCTTGGTAAATGTTTGTGTACAACAAAATCCTAAGGCTTATGATATGACTTAAAAATATTATAACTTGAAAAAAATAACTTTTTTTAACTGAGTAATTTTATTTAATATCTTAACTTTGAACTTATCTAGTTCATTTTTTTTTTTAAGTTAATTATTTTCATTAACTCTCCCACCTTTGCTGATTAGGTACAGTATGTCAGTATATATTATACATTATACGGTAAATCGTTAATACCAAAATGGTTTAAAATAATATTATCTTAAATTGAGTGTTCTAACACAATTAGCGAACTAACTTCAACTTTTGTATATTATTTTTAATAAAGAATGATGCACTCCCCTTCACAAACGAACACTGGAATTACTATGTAACGCCTATGGCCTATAGAGTAAGAATTATAAGTGTTAAATGGTAAAACCCACGCGAGTGTTACTCAATGATAGACTATACGTCTATACGAATACTAGCACGATGATTGAATATTTGAATGCGCTGTAGCATTTATTGTAGCATATAATGCATAAGTAAATGTTTATTATATGATATGTATACAGGTTATAACAGGAAAACCTGTCCGCGCAAAAAAAAAAACAATTATGCTACTTAAACGTAACGTATAACAAAAATTATGAAAATTATATGGTCAATTAATAATTTAAGAAATATACTCATGTCAGGGAATTCCCAAAAATAATATTTAAAAAAAAATTATTTCATTCTAAAACGATTTACTCAAACAAATATTTATATTTTAAAAAATTCTAAAAAATAAAATAATTAACTCGGATAAATGTTTTAACCATAAAATTACGTGGGGTCACGAGGGGGTTAGGTTAGTGGTCAGTTGTCCACCACCCCCGGAAACAAAATTGAGAGGCCAAACTTATAATTTTAAATGGGTCAGTAAATTGTAATTAATTGTTGACCCCCCTCCCATCAACAGATAGGTCTACTTGCTGCCAATGACTGTTCTTATCTCTGTTTAAAAGTATATTAGTATAGCTTATCTGCCAGCTATAGATGAAATTGACCGGTTGCATTGACGTACATGACATAACTAACTTTTTTTTGCATATTTTGAACACAACGCATATAATTGCATAATTCGATTTTTTGTATTTATTTAATGAACTTCTTTAATTATTGGGTTATTTCATATTTGTCGAACTGTCATAAATTTACTATCTTGGTCAGACGACCGATATGGACATATTATGGTCAACTAATGGCTAATAATATAAACATTATTTTTGTTTTTCATTAGTAAGGCAAGTTTTAGTCAATATAAATCCATATTTGTCACAATCGCCGGTCATTCGTCATTGGTGTTTCAACATTTGAAAGAACATATTAATATCATTACAGCAATATGCAATGTAATAATAACTACTTATAATAATTAATAATTCTATAAAATAATAAATAATGATTAATTTCTGATTTTTATGCAAAAAATATTTAATGTTATGTAGAAATAAAAAAAATTTTTTTTGCATATGTTTGTAAACAAAATGCATTTTTATAATTTTGTATTGCATAAAATAGTAGTCATAGTTATTATTATTACTCTCTGCCCAGTTACTCGGTGCCCATTGTCAAAAAATAATGAAACAATTAGTAATAATATCTGTTATTCACTATTCAGTTATTATAGTATTACACGTTAAATAGATATTTTATGTAGATACTCAGGTTTCAAAGTACTCATATTCTGTCTTCTGATATGGATACCATTTACCTACTCATACAATAACAATAGACAATAGTACGTATACATTAGACACATAGAGATAGAATATTCTATAATATAGGTAACGTGTTGTACGTTACCTATTAATTATTATTATATCGAAATTGTTACACGTGCTAACTGCTAATGAATAATCCAATTATGCTCATAAATTATATAATTTATTACAATTATCGTTTAAATTTTTTCTGTTGACGTTGCACAACTGCCATAGACTTATTATATTAATTAATTAACACGAATTCACTATTTCAAGTCATTGCTATTGAACATTTTTCCAATATACCTATAAATAATATTATGTTTATTGAAAAATATTTCGTAATAAAATTGCCCTTAAGAAATTAAAAAAATAAACGATATAAACAAAACATAAATGTACAATATGAACATATAATTTTACAATCAACAGGTAATTGCAAGGTTTTTGTGGTTATACTGTCTTCATAATATACTTACACACCATATATTATTATGGTACCTATGTATTAATATTTATATAATCATTGACTATTGGCTTTATATTTTTTTGACTTTCTAGTTTCTGGGAACGTCTATTAAAAATATTCCGTCACTAAAGCGTCATAATTCATAAGAGGCAGTGAGACAGTGTCAACCTTCAATCCTCATTTATATAATAATATTATTTAAATATTATATTATGTTATGAAGAATTATTGACAAAATATTTAATTTTAAAATGACAATTCATTATTATGGTATAATCACAGTATAAAGAGTTATTTATTCTCAAGAGTATAATATTATATACGAGTATTATTCTTTATACTGTGGTAAAATACTATAATGTCGTCGAAAACCTTTATTTTATTTTAAGTTGTTAATTTAATACATTGGATATCTGATAGTCACTACACAATTTTTAGCTTACAACCATTAAACAATAAAATTGTACACACTATACACGAACGGATGTTATGTTGAGACGCCGAGACGCGTGTCTCATTCATACTCGTGGTCTTGCAGTTGGTACTGTGTCTGTGTGGGTATGGTGGGTGCGGTGTTGGCGGGGTTTTAGATTTCAGATTACTCGTCGAAACGATTTAAGTTTGTACTTTGTATGAGGCATGTCTCGCACACATCGATAACGATAGACATTTTAGTTGTTTGTCGTCCGCCAACCCGCACCCGTTCGGCCGTCGAGTCGTTTTCTGTACAATTATATATTATTTTGTTGTATTATTATATTTGCTATTCTGATAATAATATTATATTGTACGTTGATAAAATGGAATCGTCGACCGACGTGATCAACGATATTTTAAGCAATGGTATTCACAGTTATTCTTACGAACATAAATTAGTGCTAAAAAAAAATAGACCTATGCCCGTTTTGAATTTGGACGTGATGGACGGTAAAACACTTCGAAAGTTTCAGTTTTCGTGGTATTCCAAGTATTTCTGGCTTACCGGAAGTCAAACTAAAAATAGACTATATTGTTATTTTTGTTTACTATTCGGAGGAGAAAAAAAATGGTGTGAAGAAGGTGTAACGGGAGTTAAAAACTTTGATCGTACAGCAAGTAAACATGCGATTTCCGAAAAGCATTTAGTTTGTCAAGAAAAATTTCAGTTGTTTGGCCAAAATAGAATTGATCACATTGCGTCAGAAGGAAAGCGTTTAGCGGCATTGAAATATAATGAACAAGTCGGGAATAACCGTCGTATATTATCGCGTTTAATTCAAGTTGTGTGCTATTTGGGAAAACAAGAAATTCCTTTTTGTGGACACAATGCAAGCGTAACGCCAATAAATAAAGGTAATTATTTAGAACTTTTGAATCTACTATCGCAAGAAGAACAATTGATTAAAGATTATTTATCATCAAACTCGAGTTTTAAAGGAACATCTCATGATATTCAAAATGATTTAATATTTTGTATCACGGAAGTCGTAAATATGCAAATTATGAATGAATTGAATAAAGTAAAATTTGTTTCTGTTCAAGTAGATGAAACCAAAGACGTATCGTGTAAATCGCAAATTAGTATTATTTTTAGATACGTAATTGATAACAACATTGAAGAGAGATTTATTGGATTTTTTGACGTGTCGATCGATAAAACTGCTTTTGAACTTTCGAATATTTTATTAGACCAAATAGAAAAATGGAATATAAGAGATAAAATTATATGTCAAACTTATGATGGATCTGCCGTTATGGCGGGTAAAGTAATAAGCGTACCAGGTATTATTAAAAACACTTACCCAAATGCCATGTTTATACATAGTTATGCTCATCACCTGAATTTAATTTTTCTACATGGATCGAAAACAATTAAAGATGTTAGATTATTTATAAGTGACCTAAAAATGTTTCACGCCTTTTTTAGCGAGTCACCAAAACGAAGTGAACTTTTACGAGTAAAGTGGTTTAAGCAGCCTGAAAATTGTGATACGAGTTGGAACTTTCATTCCAGAGCAGCAGCTACAATCAGTGCCAATTTTACAGAATTAAAAAAAGTGACATTACGTGTTACGGAAGAGGAAGACTGGGATCCTATGTCTATTTGTTTGGCCAATTCATTGTTTAACAAATTATCAAATTTTAAGTTTGTTTATTTAATATGCCTCTTTAATAAAATATCCATGTTTTCGGATCATGTATTTTTAACTCTCCAAGAAAAATGTATAGTAGATGTACAAGCTTGCATAAAAGAAATAATAAATATGTCTACGCAGTTAACGTTTATGAGAAATGAACAAACAGTTGTGACGTGTAGTAAATTTGCAGTAGAATTGAATAGTGAACTTGAATACTCTGACAAAGATGTTCGGGACTTAGAATATTTAACATACAAAATATTAGATTCAATTATAACACAAACTAATGTTCGATTTCAAGATTTTGAACTTCTTCAATTCGTAGAAATAACAAATAATAAGGCATTTAAAGATTATAAAAAATGTTTTCCTATTGAAAAGCTAATACAACTTGAAAAAAATTTCCCCTCAGTTTTTGATCTAGAAAGACTAAAAAACGAATTAACAATCATTTTTGATGACCGTGGTAAATATCTCCCACCCAAGGATTTGTTGAATTATATTATTAAAGGTTTGTAAACATTTTCCATTATTAACAATTAACTATAAATTATAATATATTATAACCATATAATAATTAATCAAACAATTATACATATTTCAGCTGATTTAAGAGAGGTATACAAAGAGCTAACCAAATTGTTGCAGTTGATATTATGCATTCCTGTCACAACTGTTTCAAGTGAAAGGAATAATAGTGCACTAAAACGAATAAAGACATTCTTGAGGAATACCATGAATCATGATCGACCAACAAACTTGTGTACTTTGGCTATTGAGAAAAACATTGTGGATGAATTAATCATTGACCCAACATTTATTGACAGAGTTATAGATTTATTTTCAAATACTAAACATAGAAATATCGACTTAAAATATAAAATATTGTAAGTTGTGTTTGTTATGTCTTTATAAGTTGTTAATTATGTTAAGTATCTTGTACATTTTATGCATTTTTTAGATTACCTACTATTATATTATTATAAAAAACTATCATAATATAATAGTAGCATAGTTAACTTACTATACCTACTTATTATCTACTTTAAAGTTTAAACTATTCTATACCAAAAACGTGTTAAGTTTGGTTTTTGAAAAAAATGTAATGCTTTTGTTTGAAATATATTTCGAGTACAGAAATGTATTACTGCTGATAATATTAATTTTACTATGGGAGAGTGAATTATTATTTTTAATTTATCACCTACAATTGGCTACTGCAAAATGAGTATAATTCGAACGAATATGATTAATTTTATAACAAAAAATTATGTGAAACATGTTTTTAATGTTCACCATTAAACAAAAAATGTTATAAGATATTAAGATAAATTTCATTTTGAATTAGATATTGATGATATGTAAATGTGGATTTTGATTTCAAATACGGATTTAAATATAGTTAAAGCTTTTGGGTTAAATTTATATTTTATAATAATATTCAATTAAATGAAATCATACAATATTAATAATTATGGTTAGAAGTTGTTATTGTTATTACCTATACTATAATATATACACACCTATAAAACGGCTAGTAGTCTCAAATTATAAATTATAATTATTATTTATATTGAGAAACGTACTTACGTCGTACAGTATTTTTTTCTTCAAACTTATTTAATTATATGAATACCTATGCGAAGCGTAATTTTTTGTATTAATGGTGCAATACAATATTTCTTCAATAGTATTTCATAAAATTATATTATATGAAATATTTCAAAATGTTAAATATCACATACTACATTGGTAGGCGTAAAGTATTGTTTTGCACATTGATTCTAAAAATATTCGCATACACGGATTTTTGACAACTCGTATTCGTATTTTTAAACGTTATCAAATGTAATATGCTTAGAAACACCTACATACTCAGCGAATTATGTACATACTTAATCGTTATTTACTGCAAAATATGCACAATAATACAATAAAATTATAATGATATTATATTCGCTTACTAAAGAATTCTCACAAATATAGGGTGTCCGACGATCGGCAAAAAAAAAACACTTCAAATATGGTAGATATTTTATCGCATGACCATAATAATAGGTATGCTTTTATTATACGCACGACCACGCCCATCTAAGAATGTGCGCACCAAAGAACTAAAAATATATTGCATAATAATAATATAAAAATCCACAAGTCGTATAAAGATCACGTTAAAGGTTTACGATAATTTCATAAAATAATTAATAGCAAGTACATTTCCTAACTTTTTTTAAGCTTAATTAATAATATTGAAGTAGTGCTTCAGCTCCCCCCCAACACCAAATTTCAAACGTTATTTGTGCCTATAAGGGCGTATAGCATATATTTTAGTCGGAAGTGACATACACTCCTCAATCTCTACACACGGGCTCTGCATAATAGCCGTGGGTGTACCTATATTATACTATATTATATTATACTGTTCACAGTTGATAGGAGATAATATGAATAATCCCCGTGCGATAGCCGATAGACCGAGCAACCCTTTTGTGGTGCACACAGCCTATATTATTATTATGCAGTGCACACGACTCCACAAGTGTAGATTACGATTAGACGACACGTGATGCACACCGCCGATCGAACAATATTAGTTTTCTTTAGGTTTTCTGTGTGCACTGTGCACTATTACTATATACTGCAAAGTGCACCCTGCACACATTGGGTGCATAATGCATGTATGGTAAACAATTTTATTCTAAACCGAACGGTCGGCCTATCGCGTTATAAACTTACGACCACGTCTCCTGTGAAGGTATGTAAAGCAGTAAAGTACATGTCATATTATTTGTATTGTCAAAGTGGAAACATTATAATTGCTGTTACATTCTTATCGTTTTATTCCGTTTTCCTTCGTCCACCTATATAATCTTTAGGTACATCATAATTTATAATTGTGTGCTAGTGTACATAATAGCATTCGTTAAACCTATACAATAATACAACCTACTATATTTTATATTAATAAATATATATTTTAAATTTACAGTAGGCATTGTCGCATTGATAATCGATAAGAATGACAAATCAGTAGGAATCAATCAATAAATTATCATATAAAATGTTTTTATTAATATTGAATTTAATTTTGTAACGTGACTACGTGAGGTTTCATTTCATTTGAGGATATTTGGATTTCAATTTTGGAGTAGGTACTTATAGTTTTCTTTTGAAAAAAAGTGAAAAATTGTATTCTCCAGTCCCCTTGCAACTTATTAATTTAATATGTACCAACACCTAAACACCATCATAATTCAAAAATGTATATACATTTAATAATCAAACGACAATATTTTAAGATTAGAACATGAAGTAGAAATGTATAGAATAAAGTAGACATGAATGAATTGTATATTTACACGAACGACCATGAAAATGTTTGTTCACATTATGCAGGCCGCAGGGTGGTGTTAATATAATAATATATAATTGTTTAAAGTTAAGAGATTATACATTATAACTTATAAGTCATAAACTCATAACCCATAGGCAAATTCCTTACTCATTTTATGTCTTTACTATTAATTATTATTTTCAGTGCCTAATTTATAATAAATAAAGACATTTGGAATATTTGGGAACAATAAAAAAAACCTAGTCAGTGCACCAGCTAATGCATGTGATTTAAACCATATTATTGATCGATTAAAATCATGACAACAATAGTAGGTATTTAGTTAAGTAGATACTTATCAAGGTATGCCATATAATATAATATGTGTCAACTGATAAAACAAAAACAATATTATATTATAATTTATTTTTTATACGTAGGTATTTGATAAAAAAATATTTAACTTAATTTCAGAAACATGCGAAAATAAAAATAACCTATACATTTTAATGTTTTAACTCTATATCACTATACGTAATTAATGTTTAAAATTATACACTTACCCAACGCTGCAAAGCTCGCAATAGTTGAATACTTGAATAAGCTGCGCCGTACACTGTCACAGTATTGGTTGTGTTTGTCTTTTCTAGGGAGTAACTGTAGTATACATATTTGTGCATAGACGCATGTGCAGTAGTGCAAAATATATTTAATAAATTAGGTGTCATTAATAGTAGGTATATACACTACACATTAAACAGATATCGTCCTCGGATGACGTCAAGTAAACCTACATATTTTTAACTCTATAGGAAATGCAGTTGTTTAATATGCCTAATAAATTGCACTCTCAAGGTCGCAAATTACCTGCACTATTATTTGTTTTCATTCAAATTAAATACCTGTTGCCGCCTTGCAACCGTTATTGCATCTTGTCACGTCACTGTTCAGTCCTCTCTTTCAGCATTGTGCATTATTATAATTAGTGTTGTTGACTGTTGTGTATTATACGCGTGTACAATATATTATTTTATTATTGTTATTATTATTAAATATAGGTCAGATTTAGGTGATTTATAAAAGTAATAGCATTGAGTTTTATTTATAAATATACTAATATTATATTATTTATAATCAAAGGTAATAGACATTACCTAGCCAGGTACTTATTAGGTATAAATAAATATTTCTAATATAATTATTTTAGATTATAGGAAAGCACTAAGCGAGTTATAAAAATACATATAGTTTTAGATCTAAAAGCTATAAGTTGGAACAATTATTCAAAGATATTATATTGAATTATATAATATTAAACACATATTATGTATAATTATATAAATTATATTATAATGGTATCAAAAAAACGCATTTCTTAAATTTTAGTATAAAATATACGGGCTATAATATGTATATTATACCAACAATATTTATCGAAATTCATCCATCAATGTCAAACATCGAAGCATGAATCATAAATGACTAAATGAGTATAGGTAGAATATTGTAATCAGAATGTATATGACTGATTGTGTATAAGCTCATAACTAAAAAAGAAACACGTAGTTTGACTTGAGTTGATTAAAATTGTTCGTTTCGTAGAAAAAATCACAAATAAAAAATTGTATACCTGGTGGGTAGGTACCTATTATGCATGTGTATCTGGTATAAGTGGTGGGTAATGGGTATACTTATAAGGCTGCTGTCGCTGTGTACATATAACTATATAAGATAAGAATATAAAATAGATGATACTACATAGTACATATATTATAAGATAAATCCCACGTTGGTAATCTGATGCAGTAAAAGATTTCATTCGTGGGTAGTATATGCGGCTAGAATACCTACCTATATATATATTATAACTAGCTGATCCCGTGCACTTTGTTACCCTTTAAATGTACCAAATCTATATGACTAAAACTTTGTTCAATTCGTTATTTAATATTCAGTGTATGATGTTCAAAATTTATGTTAACTTTTCCGTTGCCCGGAATAAAAATTCCGCGTGAGTACAGGTGCAGCAGTACATTATTAAGTAGGTTTGTACGCAAGTGTATATTTAACTCTAAAGTATCAAAGTTTGTCGTATAACACCTATGGTGGATTAGTATAATCAGTTAATACAAAATCCTCACCGTACTAATATCAGATGAATAAATTCTGATTCACAGCAGTATATTATCAGGTAAAATAATTTTGATTAATTAGATTATCATTTTTTGTCATTATTATATTTTTATAATTTGATCAAATGTCTGCAGGTTTTTATACTGTTACTCTATTGGAATGAAATCACAGTACCACCTACAAGCTTTTCAAATTAAAATATCTAAAACCAATAAATAAGCTAAATAAAATGCATGTCAATTTCTTTTCGCATTATATGGAAAGTCATTTGTACCTATTCGGATTCGGATGTTGCAATAAAGGACCTAGTGGTAACCACGGTCAAACCTAGGAGCCGATCTTGTACATTGAACGGCATGGATTTGGACGTGGACAAGAGTCGAGCGGGCTATTACGCTTCAAGTCGACTGACCAAATATTATTCGACGCCAAATATTATGTTTTTGAAACTGGAAGCGGCAATCCAATTGCCGTCCTCCACGATCGGGACTAATGAAGTTGAAGACACCGACCAAACCCAATGCAGCGGTCTCCTGTGTGAAACTGCAGAATACTTATTATGCTGCGATAATGGACCAGATGGTAAAGACGAACAGGGTCAAACCTATAAGCGCCGTTCCTTTTGGAAACGAACTAAAAAATTTTAAAACCGTTGAAAAAAAAATAGTACTTATCTAAGTCAATAAAAACCACGAGTAAGTTACTAAGTTAGAAAGTTAAAATCGATTTTTCTTTGACTTAATAACTCGCGCGTTAATGACTAGATCTTGGGTGGTTTTAGGTTATAATTATAATTTATAATTTACTAGCTGATCCCGTGCACTTCGTTGCTCGTTAAATGTACCATAACTCTATATGACTCAAACTTTGTTAAATTCGTTATTTAATATTCGGTGTATGGTGTTCAAAATATATCTTAACTTTTCCCGGAAAATGTAGAGTATCGCGAGTATTTACTAATAGAAACATTCCCGTGCCCACATCTAATTCGGACAAAAACCTAATTACGATATACGAATTACTTGTCAGTTGGTGTTCACTGGAGTTCCAAGTTTCCGACAGCCTATGTGATTGTGTATGCCGAATGATATAATATAGTACAGATATAACTGACTTTTGGAATAACTTTTGTTCTAATCAATATTTATAATGTTTTTTTATAATTTTAACAATCTTTGTCATACGTTTAAGTAGCTTCATTTTTTTTTTTTTGTCAAGTCTGTCTGTTAGGTACACGTTTTGTACACTAATATTTATTTGTCATATTTTTTGAATAAAATATAAATAATTTGTTTTAAATTTTTAATAAATTAAAATTTACTATTTTACTAATTAATTATTTACTAATTTTTATAAAATGTATCTAATGCACTTAAACTATTCAATGTTAAATTGTCATAAAACCATTTTTTCTCAAAAACGTCTTAAGTGCCTCATAGGTATAATTTAATTTAAATACCCAGAAAATGCAGAGCTTAAGCACCCTCAGTTTTTATGTTGAAATTGCGCCTATGCTTATCCGTTGCCCGGAATAAAAATTCTGATTTGCAGCAGTATATTATCAGGTAAGCAATCCTGTGGTACCTGTGGTAGATAGCGGACCCCGTGGTGTTTGTACGTAAGTGTATGATTTAACTCTAAAGTATCAACAAGTATACCAAGTTTGTCGTATTCCACCTATGGTGGATTAATATAATCAATTAATACAAAATCCTAACCTAACCTAACCGTACTAATATCAGATGAATAAAAATTAATTAATTAAATTAGCCTGTCTTCTTCCCAGAGGTCTAATATACACACAAACATTAATACAATTAATCAACAAACATGTCAGATCAACCAATATATACACTGTTGCACCACTGTTGTATTTTTTACATCCAGATTTCCTACTTTTCCGGTGGATTTTCCTAAAAATTAAGCCAAATCGGACCAGCCGTTCTCGATTGATGAGGTATAACGACATTTTCACGCTCCATTTTTATATATATAGATTATATATGTACCTATATGTTATATTATGGGCATTACGTTTACTGTTTACACGAGTAGTTCCAGAGTTATAAAAAGTCATAAAAATGTATATAATAAGGAGTACCTAATACCTATCAATTATCATTTATCAATTATCATAATGGTTTTACATACAAAAAAAAAATAGATGTAATAGATTTTTAGTATAGTAACTATAGGTACCTACCTACTTTATTTTAATATTTATTATTCAGTCAATGTTTAGAAATTATAAAATGTTCATAAAGATTAACATAAATTAATATAATTTTCAAAATATCATATAGCCCCAAAGAGTCTACCAAACCTTTTGTCATGAACTTATTATCCTTACTACACAAAGTACCTAGGTACATCAAAAACTATTTTTTTATTAACATTTTCTAAAAAAACCATTTTTTTTTTAACAATTTACAGTAAATATACAATAGTTCTTATTTGAAGATGATAAATCACAAATGTGTCAACACAGAGCACTTCTTAAATGGTATAGATTACTATAGAAAACCTAAATGTTTAAAAATATGGTCCTCAAGTATTTCAAAAAATAAAATAGTATGCTTGATGAATCACTCTGTATACAACTAAGAGATTAAATTTAATTTTAACGTGGTATTTTTACGGTACACCTTAATGTAATAGGAGCTAGGCGTTGTTCTTGGTAAATTGCAAAACATGTTCGAAACGCCGTTAAAGAGAGGCCAGGAAATTGAGTAATTTCCGTTACGACGTTAGGTATACTATACACTAATACTATAGTGCATGTCTTGTATTTGGGGTCCAGAGTGGGGAGTAAGTGGAAAAAAAACCTAACCAATAGGCAATATGTACAAAAGATAAACGTTTTAAAGTAAAAATTCATCATTCCATAAATAAAAGTATTCATTATAATTTATACTTTATATAGTGTATGAAAAAATAATTTTAGATTAGATGAGACTTAATATCCTCACAAATTTACCATCAACCGCAGTCACACACGTTTGTTAGTTCCATAGCTCTGGGTTATGACACTGTGACAGAAACCAATCATATATTGTCCTCACACGATGGTAGTCTCTCTCTACAATGTCCACGAGGACCACAAGCGTGAGCAGACTCTGGATTCAAACAAATTTAGGGGCCTATGCGCCCCCCCTACACACGCCTATGATTCAAACTGCTATGCCACCATGATATCTGAGATCTTTTGCCTACCTGGTTACTTATATCTTATGATTCTTGTGTATAAATTATAAAATACTATAGGTACTACTATATTATTATATTATACTATACTTTATTATAGAGTTCATCAAATTCGTGTAATATGCTGCCTATAATAGCTATGAGTAAATATATTAATATGTGAATATGGTAGGTAGGTACCTATATAATATGATATTATAACATTTCCTATAGTGAAATAACTATACCTACATTTTTTTTTTTATGATCATGGTATACACAGTTATATTTTTTAGCTTTTTATAAAAACCATTATTTTACGTGTATTCACAGACTTTTGAAATTCGGGATCATCGGACCACAATACCACATACATATTTGTTTTGTTAGTTTTCAGAATTTTTTCCACTATGCGTTCCTACATGGACATATAAAAAAAATAACAAGTATAGATCATGGAAGGGATCGGACCCTCAAATCTCCCTTGTATAATACGCCCCTGACCATATACCAGATACCTAGAATTTAAATACATTACTTTTTAAAACCATTCACGTATGTCTATAGTCTAAATCGAAGTAAGTACCGTCTACATCGAAGTAGGTACCCATACTTGCTTTATGAATTATGATTTATGGTACTCATATTTTGTGAAAGGAATAACGGATATTTACAAATCACAATACATTCAGATTCAATACACTATTGTCAATTATATAGGTTCACATATTTTGAGAATTTGACAAAAATATAAATACAAGTACCTACCTAAATATAATAATATATAGAAAAGGTAATTAGTAATGACTAATAACTTATAAGTAATAACTAATAAGACCAAGTAATATATAGCTGGTATAGGTACCATAAATAATATTATAATAAATATCCATGTAGCGGTCCGCCTTGCAACAAACACCGTGTCTGTTGGTCCAGAATATTATTTCTTGGTTTAACCATGCAGCATTCTAACTAATTAAATGTATATTCTATTCTATAATATATGTTGGAGAAGGTAAAACAAAATATTATACTTTCACATCTTGTTTAAGATAGTATACCTACCTACCTAATATTTAATACAATTATATTTATAATATAATATAGTCTATAAAGTGCTATATATATATATTAGTATATTACTATAGTATAATATAATTTTATTATACATAGGACCTAGGAGTAAATAATATAACATAATATTTGTATAAAGAGACATAGGGTTTATATAGTTTATACTTTATTTATAAGGTACCTACGCCTGCAATTGATGTATTTCAAATTTGAATAACACTTTTATCAACTCAAATATAAATGTGAGTAAAAAAAGTAGTTTTGTAAGTAGATAGAGATTCGGGTATAGTCGTATAGTAATAAAAAATATATTTTTAATGAGCTGGTATATATTTGATTTTTTTAACAACTTATATTTTAATGTACAAATGTTACATAACATAAGTACTCGTATACAGTTTATACACACGGCACACTACAGCCGTGACTTGTTCGAATACTAAGAAAATTAAAATGTGTATAAAAAGACGAGTTTTTTTTTAATATATTCATGACAATATCTTATGAATACGTATACTTGGTGTACATATGTGTATACACTATTCCTACGTGTTAAAATAATAAATATTATATCACAAATAGATTTTTTAACTGGCTTTCTCAAACGATTATTCTATTTTGTTTGAAAATTGAAATGATTTAAAAAAAATAATACATTCAAACATGGCTAAGTTAATAGCACTCTCATATTAGAAATGTTCACAAAACCCTACATGTTAGGAAGTTAGGTACCTATGACATAAGTGTAAATACCTTGTCAAAAATGCACACCCAAATCCCTTTCGAAAAATCTAAGCGCGCCACTGTAGGTATACCCAATAGTACAATATACACATAAATAAAATATATTTTAATTTACATTGCACGCAAATGCAGTAGAATCAATTGAAAATATTTAAATTTTTTGTCTCGAGAATATAATATTGTATTTTGTTGGACAAATCAAATCCAAGTCAACGATTTAAGTCATGTGACCTCACCTCTTGTGATAAATCGTAAATGTGACTCATGATTGTGTAGTACGCATATGTTTAGAAAATAAAACGTAATAATAAAAAAATATTTTTTACATAAGGTTCAAAACATCGAAATATTTTATTTACTATATTATAATATAGTACAACGTAGGTACTTTGCATTTTAGATTAGTATAAATATTATTCCTATTATGGTGAATGTTATGTACATTTAAAATTGATTCGTACAGAGTTACTACTGTAGACTGTTTAATGGTAAACACAAGTAGAACCTAAAGTTAATATAATAAATAACAATTATTATAATAATATTATGTTTACGATTTACCTGTATTTTACCAATGCAATATATTTTGTAATTAATAATTTCACCGTTAATTTTGAATCTCTCTCAGCTATATTATAGTTTCTTT